AATTCAAGAAAAATCTGATTTTTGCAATTTTAAATTTTGGGACCTAATTTTTAATTTTGGAATAGATAATCCCTGAGCTGTGAATTTTTCCCATAAGTTCTATTATTTTGAGCAAGAGATTTGGAAGTGGGCTAATTCTTAAATTGGGTCCATTTAAAAAATTAGACCGAAATTCAGCAAATATTAGAGAAAGTAGATAGTGGGCTAATTCTAAATTTGGGCCAAAATATAACTTTTTAAGAGAAAAGTTACAAATCAAAATAGGATCTGGGCCAATGCTGCATTGGGCTTCCCCCACATCCACCTCTGCCCAAAATTCGTGAATTTCTTAAGTCATAGAAACTTCTTAACTTTCCCTTCCAATATTTTCTATAGGAGCTGATACTGATGCAAGTTCTTCCATTTTAAATTAGATAGATTCATATCTGAAAGGACGAGCATTTAATGTTTCTAATGCATAACCACTCTAAAACCTAGTCTGATCTGTAAAATATAGGTTGACAATTTGACATTTTAAGCACCGCATAGCTATCACATCAATCAATCATATACAATTTTTTTTAAATAGTAATATTACATATATAATTGAGTAATAATAGAAAATTTCATGATATAAAAATTGAAACGTCGAGACTATGTTCATAATTAGTAATAATAAACATCATTAATGTATAAATTGAAAAAAAAAATGTTGGTTTGTGCCTTTGTGGAATCAATTCATCCCCCAATTCAACCCAATATAAAGCCAAATAAAAATGAACATCCAATCGACAAGATTCAACAAACCATTACACAACAATATAAAATTCTTTGCATCCATTCCCCTCATTTTGAGTTTGAATAAATTCAAGTGGCTTTATCGACATTTTTTTTTTGCAAAATACTATTATTAATTTATTATTAGTTATTAATACCCCTTCTTAAATATTAAGTCAATTAAATATAAAATTAATAAATTATTTTTATTTTTTATTTTTTTGAAACCAACGCGATTTACTTTTTTTTTAAACCTACATATAAATTTAACTAGAAACATTTTTTAAACCTAGATATGCAATTAACTCGAGGGGAGTGAGGGAGGTATCAATATTTGAACTCTTAGGCCTTAACTTTAATTATGTAAACAATAATTTTTAACTAACCGAGAAAAGTAGTTCAAAATAACATTCATGTTATAGTAAGTCGCTATTTGATCTCCATTTTTCGAGAATAGATTTTATAAAATAGATTTTTTTTTTTTTTTAAATTTGTAGTTAAAATGTAAGATCTTTTTTTAATGTGCACATATTTTTTTTGTGAGAGAGTGTATTATTGAAAATAAATTTGAGAAAATGAATTTTAAATAATCAAATTCAAAGTAGGCCAAGTTAAAAGTGCAATTTGTACAAAAATGTGGTTAATATGGAATCAATTTGTACAAAAAAGATAAAAACAATAAAATAAAATCAGTTCTTATTAAAGTAAATAATTTATTTTAGTTTAAATTAAAACTAAGAAAAGACAAATAAGAATACTATAAATAAAAAATAAAAAAATCAAGTGTTTTGTCTATTTTGTTCTATTTATCCTCAAAGTGCAAACATTCCTCGTTAAATTCTTCAACTTAATTAGGCTTAGACACGGATCGATCAAAATATCGATATACATAATCATTCATTACACTTCAGGTATTTCGTAAATAAAACCATTCATTTTAGATGGTTACTAGAATCAAACTCCAATGCGAATCATCAATTCGAATTTGATCCTACCCATAACTTTTTTAAAAATTGTGAGCGGACAATATACGTAATAACCTTCTCGTTGTCTAGCAAAAATAAAAGAAAATAATGTGTTATAAATACATATTTCAACATTTTTTTAAAAATAATATCATGTAACTTCATTGTGATTGCAACTCCAATTTAAATGATAAAATTAAATGATGTCACTTCAGTACCAATCAGGGTGTTAATTGTCAGTAGTATCCGATTCGGGTGGTGCTACATATGGCTTCCGATTCTGATCATGAATCTGCTTTCGATTAAAATGTCCATTCCTAAAAACCAAATTTTCACTATTTCAAATGCGTTCTTCAGTTGGATCTCAATCCTTTCTCTCCCTGGCAGCTGGGCATCTCTATCTCAGAGTATTCCGTGAAAATTGGCACTCTGTCCCCCTCATCTGGTGCAACTTTGTTTACTTTTATTAGATAAAGAAATCTATCTCTGTGTATAATTTTTTGAATAATTCTACTCAATGGTTTACATTTAAATGAGGTGTCAAAAAAAGATTGGAGAATTTATTTGATTGAAGAAATTCTGACCGTCTCACCACGTGTATATGAACCAGAACCACCGTGATTTTTTCACCGTTGCAGCCAAATTTCACTGGCAAAAGCATTTCCCAAGCTCTTTTGGACCAGTATCTTTCCTTTCTGCATTTCTGAAGGTTTGGAGTGATGGGTTTGCAGAAAGGAAGGGGAAAGGTAGAGGAGAAGGAGCTTATGTTTCTCGTTTTGGAGTTGAAGCTCCTGAGGCTTTGGTCATTGGCTTGGTGGCTTTTTAGGGTTTTGGGCCAAGAGTCTTGCTGGGGTTAGTATATTTTGTTTTTGAGTTTTTAAAATTAGCGACCCTTCTTGTACCTCAAATTTGTTATAGTATTTCCTGCTGACATTTATGCATCATATCTTCTTCAAAAATTATGTGTGTGAACTAATTATTATGCATGACAAACTGTTGAGTGAGTAAAAGGAGATTTAGTGCTATTTGATTCTTGTTTAGATTGAAATAACTAAATTTAGTTACTATCAATTAGAGCTTAACATGTAATATTGAATCATCTATTCTTGTTTGGAGTAGATATTCTTGGCAACAGAGTGTCAGCCTTCGAGTAGATTTCTTATCTGAACGATATTGACTTTTGGAATTTATCTTCGTTTGCCATGGAGAACAACAGTTGTGAACTCGTAAAAGGCTTAGATTATTTATTGGAGACATGGGTATATGTTTCTAATCAATACGAGATCCAAGCATGTACTTATTTTTATGTGAAATAGAGTGTCAAGTGCATGAAAAGGAGGAAGAGAGTACGTACGAGTGACTTTACAGGAGATAGAGATGGAGAATATCTGATCTCAATCTAGCTCCTGAATCTTTGCACCTTGAAATGGAATTTGATGATTCATAGTGAGGACAATTTGTATGTCTTGCATCATTACAGTTTATGATCTTTGGATGTTTGTCATATTCAACAGAAATGGTAGGCCTTAGCTGGATATAGGTATATGGCCAAAAAAGGGACATTTTTCTGGACCTGGAAGGTTCTACAATGTCATTGTCTTTTTGCTGCTAAACATCTTTTATAATTGAAGAACATCAATGAGTGATGATATTTACTTCTAGTATATTGAAGCTCCCTTGTAGCTAGGAACCTGACATACTATCTAATGCTTGCACGCAGCAGGTTGCAATGTGTTCTTTCATTGTCTAGTTCGCAACCAGGGCAACCCCAAAATATCTAAAGCTTGTATAATAACGGGTATATTTCATTTTTTTTGTCACAACCAACTATAAACAAGTTCACAAAGGCAATTTACAAGGGACATTTTTCTGGACCTGGAAGGTTCTACATTGTCATTGTCTTTTTGTTGCTAAACATCTTTTATAATTGAAGAACATCAATGAGTGATGATATTTACTTCTAGTAACTATTGAAGCTCCCTTGTAGCTAGGAACCTGACATACTATCTAATGCTTGCACACAGCAGGTTGCAATGTGTTCTTTCATTGTCTAGTTTGCAACCAGGGCAACCCCAAAATATCATAACCATCTATGAGTAGATCCGAGTTCACGAGTGACTAGCCGAGTAGAATAGCATGTAGTATAGGTAGAAGGGAGATTAGATGATAGATTTCCTAGTACCATACACGATATCAAATTATGTTTTCTCACCATTCCATAAAGGAATATATCAGGAGTTGACACAGGGTTCATTCTAAGATTTAATGAGTCTTTTGCATTTAAGTCATCATGGGATATTTTCATTAGGGATTGTAATGATGTTATCCTTCCGAAACAGCTGTTGGCCCTGTCTCAAAACTGTAACTGACAGGAGCTCTTGCCCATTTGCAGAAGGAAAAGCAGAGCGACTCAAAGCCCAAACTCCATCTCGAGGTCAGTAAATAGCTTTGGAAATCTCTCTCTCTCTCTCGCCCCAACACTCGCTATTATAGAACCGGTGTCAGATACTGTTCAAGAAGCTTTGGTAATGCCTCTCTCAAACTGAAAGTAATGTTCTTGAAGAAGCTGCTTCATATGCATTTCTCGGGGAGAGAAATTTGAAGACAAGGGTAATATAAAAACCGTCCATTTTCTTCCAAGATTTGCACAACAACCCTTTTAAATTCGTTGTCCGCTATCAAATAAATGTGTGAAATGGTTCCCTACATTCATTCTAGAAGGCTCTCTGTACTTCAAAATGCATTGCAAGTAAGGAATAACAGTCAATTCATTAATCATTTCGTAATGTTATGAGATTTGATCGAATGATTTTGCAGTTCTTATCATGCCACTGATTACTTGTCTAGAACTGTGGATATAATGGCATGCCGTGGCTTGTTGGATGTGGGTATGTTTCAAATGACATGCTCATTCATTCAAGAACCAACAGTTTCAGAAGTCTTTGCTCGTGGAATTTCGCAAGACCTTCTATTTATTCAGAAGTAATTTCTTAGATATTTGCCTCTATATTCTTTACTGAAATTATAATTTTGTAGAATAGAAATGCATGTTTGGTATGCAATATTGAACAAGATTGGACAAATTGGACAAGTTATTAACTTACTTTTCTTCCACAATGCTTTCCAGTCCACTGCAATCCACCACACCAAACAAGCCATGCAAGAACAAAAATTATAGCAAACCAAGAACGTACAACAAGACCTTGGAGGAAAATAAATAAGCAAACAATAGAAACAATCTTCACACAAGCTTAGATAATACCAAACAATCTCTAGTTATTAAACCTCCATAAGGAACCCATTGTCTTTCTCCAACCTCTCCATAGCATTAGCCTCCAAACTGATCTCAACGTCGATGCTTCTACCTCCAATCTTGCCTGGATACAGATATACCATGCCATCAAACCTATTGTTGGAGCCACTCCTCACACTCTCTGGCTCTCCCCATCCGAAGTCTATGTCGTAAACCTTAAAACGTGGTGAACTTCCAACTGCCACACAGTTCACTCCAGCATCCTTGTATTGGAATATCTTAGGGTTGCTCTCCCACTCCTTGTTACGTGCATCAATGGCTTTGGAGTCATGCATGTCAATGGCCTTCTGTATCATGGCTGCCCCAAACTCCGGTGGATTGGCCAATAACAACCCTGCTGCAGTTACGGTGAAAATGGCTTGAATCAGGTTCCCAAAGTAGCTTTCGGGCATGGGAGGTTCCACCCTTTTACGACAGTCGGCAAACACTGTGAAAACGGTGTAGTCCTCAGGCTTGAGTTGGCGTGCGCGTGTGATTGCATGCCAGACGTGTGTAGAGAGTGATTGGAATGTTGAGAATGGCTTTGACACCTCGGGTGGGTGAGCATTGACTTTTGACTTGATTTGGTCAATGGCTGACTCAGAAAATTTGAAGATCTTTTCTCTTAGGGGTGGGTCCACCTTGGCAGCCACATCACCATTTGCTGCTGATTTGGCATGCTCTGGTGCATCCGATGGCTGGGATATGTCAAGTTTCACTCGTGTGTTTCGAGCTTTGGTGCGCTCAAGGAAGGGTGGGACCGAGATGGATATCGACCCACGGCACACCTCAGCCCATGAACTCATGAAGTGCCACGTGGATGTACCATCAAGTATAGCATGATTAAAGGCACAACCCAGCGCAACTCCGTCCTTTAGTTTAGTGAGCTGTATATAATTGGCACAATAATGAGAAACGTGAACCAACAACCTTTAATAGTCCCTAAACCATAAATGAAGCTTCATTTTCAGCTCCAAAACACTACAAATTTTGATATGTTAGTATTTAATGAATCACAAAAGAAAAGTTCAAATTTTGTCCGTTATTGCTGTGCAAAGTTGTCACATATTGCGTGTTTTATCTCGTTAGCGCGTGTAACTTGTGCACTCTTTGATTTGTTCTGATATTTGCTCTTTCTAGTACAAATGTGTGTCCCATGATAAACAATCAAATTTATGTTGTGCAATAAATGAAATCAATGATATAGGTTGGTGAAAAAGCAACAAATGCAATGCAATACATACCTGCACGGCCAGAAGTGGCCTGTGAAGCCCCTCCAAATTCAATACTCCATTATATGGAATCAACTCCTTGAACTTGGTGGTGCCCTCCTCAGCTGTGAGATCCTCCACCGCTAACTCCTCCGTGGCCGCAACCAGCACCTCCACGCCGTCCATATCGTCCTCGTAAACAACCTTAAACACCCCATCTTCATCTTTTCCCAAGTTCCCAGCCAGCTGATGAAAATCCTCTAAGACTAAACCTAAACCATCCTTCAATTTCTCAACTATACTCTCAAACTCTGCCTCGCCACCTTTATAGATCAACAACTTCTGGTTATAATAGAAGCCCAAATAAGGAAGATCAAACGTGACCAATTGACACTCTTTTTTTCCTAGTGGTTTTTTGGGCTTCACATTTGTTGTAGTGAGGATTTTGACACTACATTTCTTCTCCACTGCAACTTCACCTGCCATTGGGGATTGTGGGAAATACAAGGAAGAACAAGAAAGCCTTAAAAAGAATAGGAATACTAAAAATTATTCTTGTTTGGTTTGTCGAATAATGAATTCTTGGAGATAATGCACACACTTATAGTCCTGAAGGTATTTGAATGTAGTTGGGGAGCATTTATGAAATTCATACAGCAGTTGGTAAGACATTAACTACTCTTCTTTGCTACCGTGTATTTTGGTGGAAGTTGAGTAAAAGATTTGCCTTTTTTTTTTCTTTCTTTATATCTAATTACTTTTCTGGACTCTTATTTTAATTTAAAAAAAAAAAAAATCTAATGCCCAAAAGATGAGACATTTGTTAAGAAAATTTAAGACAACTAATTTAAAAAGTGAAAAAAAAAATATTTATTTGAATTTGTGTTCAATATTCTCCTTCAGTTACATACTAGATTCACTTTTTTCTATTAAAAAAAGGATTAACGGATCGAAATAGGGTAAATTACTTTTTGAATTGGTCTTCAACATGCTCATTCACTTATATATTAAATTAGATTTTTTTTTTCAGAAGTTGGAAAAATTGATACAACGTTTCCTCAACCTCAATGCATTAATCACCCAACTTCAAAAACCCCCAACCTGTAAGGATTAAAAATAAATAAATAAAAGAAGGGAGACACATAAAATGTAGGTATTGTAAGCATTGTCAAAGAACAATTAATAAACATGCATATTTTCTTGTTTTCGTACGTAAATATAGAAAATAGCATTTGGGGCCAAGTTCATCAGCAGTTTTGTTGGTCTTAATTACGGGAAAAGTCTATAAACATGTATTAATATATTTTTTTAATTAAAAAACTTTTAATCCCGCGAAGGCCATGTGATCAAAAGTTTCTAGCCATCAAAACCCTACACGTGGACGGTGAACCATTTTTTGTAAAAGAGTAAAGTTATTCATCCTCAATTTATGTGGCTTTAAATGATAGGTAAAATGAAATGTGAAATTGAATGACTTATTTAATTTCACCTATCATTTAATGCCACATTGATGCCACGTAGACTGTATTTTCATCCCCAATGGAGATAAAAAGCATTATTCTCTGTAAAATGTCCGACTTTATTGGAAAGAATATATAAACGCTTTACTTTGTAAATTATATAAATGAATGATTCAAAGTTTAATACTAATTAACTGAATTGGGGGCCATCTAGTTTGCTCAGTACAATAGAAAAAGTTTGATTTGTTTTTTCCCTTGCAAGAATCCCACTTTATCTGTTTATCATTGATTTCTCCAACATTTAAAACAACTAATAACCTCGATTTTACCAATTATTCAAAAAATTGTACACAAATAACATACAACTAGCATAATTCATACGCTAAATGGTCGTGAATCTTACGTTGCAAAATTAAGGGTCTGTTTGGGCCAAATTTTAATCTGAGTCAAAGTCAAACAATCAATATCAACCTCATCTTTCATAAGTCTCACATCTTTTCAACCACACATTTCAAAATTTTTTATCACAATCCACTTAAAATCTGATTTTAATCTATACCAAACATCCTTAAGTCACACCAATCTACTAATGATAAATGATCATTTCCTTATTTTTGTTTGTTAATAATGATATTTGTGAATTATTGTGTCGAAAAATGGTACAAAACAATCAATTCGAGCGCCGTACAAACCTAAAATTTCGGCTTCATAATAATTGGTAAAAGCCATTTCTACCCTGTCCCACCGACATAACTGTTTTTGACAAACCTACAACATGTTTGAGATCACATTTATATGTAAGTTTTTGTTTTTGTTTTTGTTTTTGTTATGTATTTATCACTTTAAATCTTTTCGTCTAGAAGTATATAAATTTAATTGCTCAAGTTCAAGATGATTAAAGGTGTCTTCAATTGGGGCATGGATTGCATCAAAAAGCCGGTCAAGGATGATTAAAGGTGTCTTCAATTGGGGCATGGATTGCATCAAAAAGCCGGTCAAAGATGATTAAATTTAAAGGTGTCTTCAATTGGGACAAGGATGCATCAAAAAGCATGTCACATCATACTTACGCGATGAAAAAAATATCGAGGATGTCTAACACACCATCCATGAATTGATTTTAGAAAAAAATGAACGTTTTCCAGTCGAAAGGATATCTAATTTAGGCCCCGTTTGATAGGCCAAAATTTTCCATGGAAGATGAAAATTATTCCACGCGTTTCACTTTTTAACTTATTTGATAGGAAAATTTTTCTTGGTAATTCATTTTCTCACTTAGTCTCGCGTGACCCTTAATTCCACAAAATTGAGGAATTGAAATTCATATGGTTGAGCTAGTTTTTTCTGTTCTTAGTAAGGGAGAATTATTTATTTGAATTTGTGTTCAATATTCTCCTTCAGTTACATACTAGATTCATTTTTTTCTATTAAAAAAAGGATTAACGGTTCGAAATAGGGTAAATTTCTTTTTGAATTGGTCTTCAACATGCTTATTCACTTATATATTAAGTTAGTTTTTTTTTTTCAGAAGTTGGAAAAATTGATACAAGGTTTCCTCAACCTCAATGCATTAATCACCCAACTTCAAAACCCCCAACCTCTAAGGATTAAAAATAAATAAATAAAAGAAGGGAGACACATAAAATGTAGGTATTGTAAGCATGGTCAAAGAACAATTAATAAACATGTATATTTTCTTGTTTTCGTACGTAAATATAGAAAATAGCATTTGGGGCCAAGTTCATCAGCAGTTTTGTTGGCCTTAATTACGGGAAAAGTCTAGAGTCAACATAGTCCACAAGCTTGGCCGATGTGACGTACAATAAACATGTATTAATATTTTTTTTAATTAAAAAACTTTTAATCCCGCGAAGGCCATGTGATCAAAAGTTTCTAGCCATCAAAACCCTACATGTGGACGATGAACCATTTTTTGTAAAAGAGTAATGTTATTCATCCCCAATTTATGTGGCTTTAAATGATAAGTAAAATTAAATGTGAAATTGAATGACTTATTTAATTTCACCTATCATTTAATGCCATATTGATGCCACGTAGACTATATTTTCATCTCCAGTGGAGATGAATAGCATTATTCTCTGTAAAATGTCCGACTTTATTGGAAAGAATATATAAACGCTTTACTTTGTAAATTATATAAATGAATGATTCAAAGTTTAATACTAATTAACTGAGTTGGGGGCCATCTAGTTTGCTCAGTACAATAGAAAAAGTTTGATTTGTTTTTTCCCTTGCAAGAATCCCACTTTATCATTGATTTCTCCAACACTTAAAACAACTAATAACCTCGATTTTACCAATTATTCAAAAAATTGTACACAAATAACATACAACTAACATAATTCATACGCTAAATGGTCGTGAATCTTACGTTGCAAAATTAAGGGTCTGTTTGGGCCAAATTTTAATCTGAGTCAAAGTCAAACAATCAATATCAACATCATCTTTCATAAGTCTCACATCTTTTCAACCACACATTTCAAAAATTTCAATCACAATCCACTTAAAATCTGATTTTAATCTATACCAAACATCCTTAAGTCACACCAATCTACTAATGATCATTTCCTTATTTTTGTTTGTTAATAATGATACTTGTGAATTATTGCGTCGAAAAATGGTACAAAACAATCAATTCGAGCGCAGTACAAACCTAAAATTTCGGCTTCATAATAATTGGTAAAAGCCATTTCTACCCTGTCCCACCGACATAACTGTTTTTGACAAACCTACAACATGTTTGAGATCACAATTATATGTAAGTTTTTGTTTTTGTTATGTATTTATCACTTTTAATCTTTTCGTCTAGAAGTATATAAATTTAATTGCTCAAGTTCAAGATGATTAAAGGTGTCTTCAATTGGGGCATGGATTGCATCAAAAAGCCGGTCAAGGATGATTAAAGGTGTCTTCAATTGGGGCATGGATTGCATCAAAAAGCCGGTCAAAGATGATTAAATTTAAAGGTGTCTTCAATTGGGACAAGGATGCATCAAAAAGCATGTCACATCATACTTACGCGATGAAAAAAATATCGAGGATGTCTAACACACCATCCATGAATTGATTTTAGAAAAAAATGAACGTTTTCCAGTCGAAAGGATATCTAATTTAGGCCCCGTTTGATAGGCCAAAATTTTCCATGGAAGATGAAAATTATTCCACGCGTTTCACTTTTTAACTTATTTGATAGGAAAATTTTTCTTGGTAATTCATTTTCTCACTTAGTCTCGCGTGACCCTTAATTCCACAAAATTGAGGAATTGAAATTCATATGGTTGAGCTAGTTTTTTCTGTTCTTAGTAAGGGAGAAAACATTATTTACACTATTCAATTTTTAAATCATAATTTTTCTTTATACTATTTAATTTTTGCATTTTCTATTCTCAAAAATCACTTCTTATCGCAAAGTACATTATTTTTCTATACACTATTCAATTTTAAATTTCAACATTTTTCAGGTGAAAAATTATACCAATCAAACACAATTAATTGACAATTTTCAATAAAACAAGTTCTAAACAATTCAATTCCCTGAAATTCGTTTTCTTTCCACCCAAATTCTATTTGTTCGAAGAAAGCAATGAATATGCAACCAAGCAAACCTAATACATGAGGGGGTTGTGTGATGTTAAAAGTTGATAAAAGATAATTGGTCGTGAGAAGTGCTTGGTGAAAAAAGTGGATAAAAATTGTGAATACAATTAAACGTGTGGTTACAAATGAAGTTTGACCAGGTTTGATAAGCTTTTAAGCAAACAAAAACTTTTCCAAACGAGCAAGAAATGTAAAACTGCATACTTGATATGTAGCAAGAAACTACTACTTCCATACAAATTTTAAAACTTCTTTGAAGTGTAAAAGAATAAATAATCCAATCATCGAAACACTCATGCGACGTATTGAACCACTTCATTTAAAATATAGGTGATAAGTGCGGGTTTTTGCACTTATTCGGACCATTAATTTAGAAATTTGTGAGTTTTTATTATCAATTTATTACTTAATTTAGTTATTTTTATTTTGTAGGTGAAAACCCGAGTTGAATGATGGTTAGAAGGAATTTACGCGAGAAATGAACAAAAAGAACCAAGTAGGCAAAAATTTCGAAATTTGGGGACCAAAATTATCACTTTTTGATAGTTGTAGGAACGACGTGCAATTTCTAGAAAATTTGGCTGCCAAAACAGATTTTGGCAGAGAAGGCTGGCGATTTGTTTTGAAAAAGAAGGCTGGGTGCCACTTTAATTGACTTTGGGACCATTTGCTTGTTCTCAAGGACGGATCCAGACCATTTGTCTTGTGGGGTCAAAAATGAGAATTCAAAAATATTTAGAACTACATATCATTAACGAAAATAAGTCAATACGCTATTACAATTGCAGCCTACGCGTTTTCATACTCTAAAAACGTCGTATAATTATATCGTTATCAATATTGTTAAGTACATCGTTTTCAATATATGCAACCAAACTATTACTTAACAACTGATCTCCCATCCGACTACGCAGTCGATTCTTGACAATTTTCATTGCAAAAAATACTTACAAACAAATTTATTTTAAATCACCAAGTTAGACAAACTGATAAAGCCATTACACTTGGTACGTAAAATAACGCATGATTTTTCACTTAGATTTAACATTTTCACCGACCAAAGAAGGTGGTCGATGAATATGACACCCAACCAGTGACCATATAGTAGTCACTGTTATTAATTTTCAGCGATCGCTTGACCTTTGGTCGTTTTCAATCAATTTTGTCTGGCATGCGATGATTTTCGCCAATTTGAGAATAATGAATTTCAAATCATTGATGAATAGATAACCGTTAGAATATATGAGTAATCAATGGATTAAATTTTGAACTATGCTACAGTGTTAGAATACTTGACATAATAGTTAACATAATATTACATGACATTCTATCATTGACTATTTAAAACAAAGTCGCATTTTTCATCAAATCAACTCTCGTCATCTAGAATTCTGACACTACTTTTGGCATCATTCTTCTCGCTAGGTGGTTTAAATCTTACATACATAATAATAGGGAAAAAGTTTAAAAAAAATAATGGGGAAAAAGTTAAAAATAAAAACTCAAAAAAATAAAAATAAAATTGTGGGGTCAAAAAGTAAAAAAAAAAAAAAAAAATTGGGGGGTCATTTGACCCCACATGACCCCATGTGGGTCCGCCCATGCTTGTTCTTTTAACAAGTTGGGGACTTGGGCTGCCATTTAGACTTTAGGTTTGAATTAAAATGAAAAGGGAGCCCCTGTTTTAGAGCAGAGACGGAGCTGGAGCGTTTTTGGTTGTTTTTCCTTTGCTTTTCAATTGTTTTACTTTCTTTTCTTTTTTTTTTTTCTTTTTCACTTGATTTCTTGGAGATTTTTGGACAAACCTTGGAGCTGGGGAGACCCATTGATATTTTCTCAATAAGTTTTTCTTTTCCCTAATTTATTTTCTATTAATGAGTTCTAAGAATTTGTTAGTTATTTTTGATTATTTGATGGGTAACTAAATATATTTGTAATTGGGGATTATTTTAAACCCGAGTAATGATTTTCTATCGATTTGTGCTTGATAGTTCTTGTGATTAATGTGTTTAATCCATTATGCTTAATGTTGATGTTGTCATTCTTGATTATTTAGGTGTACAACTAGATAATTAAGTTGATGCAATATTTGCTATATTGGGAATTTTAGTACGTACTCGCTATTTTTACCAAATCTTGTAGCAAATGTATTCCAATTGATTTTAGTACGTAATTGCTTTTCGATTGGATGTATGTGGATTATCACTTAAGTTAGTAAACCGAGCTTGTGAGTTTGCCCTTAATTCAATTTATCTCTTTTGTCATAATGTTTTTGTTAAATTAAATCTAGAAAGCTTGTTCTAGGTTGTTTAATGAATATGGTTGAATAAAGAGCTTATTTTATTCAACTAACATATAAGAAGATATTGAGATAATTGAGCTTGTAATTATTCTCGAATTGTTGTTAATCTAGAGAACGAAAATTTATTGTGGTAATTGATATGAAAATCATTTTTGTGGTAACGAAATATCCCCCAAATCACATCTTCACATCTTCGGTTTTAAAACTACTTTGTTTATTTCCAAATTCAAGTCTTTACTATTTTGAAGTTATTGCTTTCTTTAGTTCAACAAACCAAACTCCCCCATTTAATTACTTTAGTTTATAATTGTTAATTTCAATTTTTAGTTTGCAATTGATTGAATTGAAACAATCATCTGCGGGAAATGACCCTTACTTGCCATATTAATATTTAAGACCACACATTTAAGCTAAGTAAGGAAAAATAGTTGGTACGCCATTTCGAGCGTATCAATAGATAAAAAGAAAATAACTCGATACACATTAATTTTTAAGTCGAAGGTAATATAAATGAAATTTAGTATTTAGAAAATTAAAAGAATTGAACAATTAAACTATGTGGTGTTTTAGTTTTAGAGTTCTTTTACGACTAGATTTCTTGCTCTATTTATGGTCATGAAACACAAGTACAAATGCTCCTCTAGCTCATCTAGATGTTCAATGAAGCTTTGATCATTCCTTTTCAACTGGCTAGCCACTTTACCATTGGCTTGGAGCTGATCATCTCCTCTTTGTAGCCAAAGCTCGACTACATCATGCACGTGTTCCATCTCATCGTTTAGCCGAGCCACTAGTCTACTAATTGTGTCCAAATCCCTTATCAATATATATGTCCCTTTAGCAGCTGCATCGAGCTGAGCCAACTCCTTAACCAGCTTTTTCTCAGAAACTAGCTCGAGGGAAGTAACCATGATGCCGGGTGCAGCCACTAGCATTACAAAAGCATGAGTTGCAATAATTATTGCCAGGGAAGCCGTAATAGCCACTAGAAAAACAGCTGAGCCAAACTTTATTTTGCCGATTATTCGGAGCTTTGTACGTATCTTGTCACGGCTCGACTCAAGTTGCTTGAGCAAGTTCGAGCAATTCGCTTGCACAGCTCGAAAGTGGCTGACGGATGGAGCCGTTGGGGTAAATGGGTTGGATTTAGAGAATTTGGTTAATCGGGCCAATATCATGGGTAAGTGGTTTAGTTGTGGACATGGGCCAGTCAGCCCACTTTGGGAAGGGCTAAATGGATCTTTAACATATTTGTATCTTGAACGGGTATGGTCAATATCTTTAAGCAGATGTCCACATAAATGGAAAGCATCGGCAGTAGTCGAAAAATAGTTTGACAAGAGGGAAAACTTCTCGGGTTGATCATTTCGGGTCAAATCTAAGACCATAGACACTGTTGATTGATCTGGATCCAAAAGATGCTCCGCGAAGATTCGATACGAATGAAGCCGTGCAGCTGAAGTGGACCCTACACTCGGAGATGTATTATGTGTTCCTTCCTCCAACGCAAGTACACGTGTCCAAAAATCAGTGTACGACTCGGTCCGAAATGCATTAACGTACTCTTCTTGGAAGTCCATGTCTGCTTGCCTATGATTGTCCTCTCGACTAGCTGCAAACATTCAAACATTTTGTTCGTGTAGTCAACAATTCATGTCAACCATATATTTTATGAGTCTTATATTTTTTTCATCACGCATTTTATTTTCTATCAAAATCTACTAAAAATATGATTATGTCTACCAAAATGGAAGAAGACATGTTGGAACAAACTTAAGAGAAAAACAAAACCTACTTTTTTTCCCCACAAAATTTCACTTAGTATAAGTGAAAAAACACGAACTTACCGTTGCATGCAAATAGCTTCTTGATTCCGACATGAAATTTAATCTTCATTTTTTTTTTTTTGCTACACTTTAGAAATCACGAAATAATAAGCTATTAGAACATATCCCAACAAATAGAGGAATTGTGATTAAAAAGAAAAGAAAAGATAGAAAGAAAACCTTGATAAAGGGCGAGGGCGAAAATATTTATGTAAAATTGCTAAAATATTTCTATTGGTGAAGAAGGAACTTGTGTAAACATAGAGCACTATTATATATACGCTGTGTGTGAGTGCGTGCAATTTTTCTTGGTTTTGCTTAGAAGGTAAAGAAAATTATTTGTAAATTAATTGATCCTTGTACTGTAAGAAACGAAAGCATCTGCTTCACTAATCTTAGAAGAAAAATAAAATAGTGGGCATGATTGAAGGTGATGGCATAATTCCTATATATATATATATATATATTTTAATATGAAAAATGGATTCTAAAATCTTATATAATGCGATTCAAAAAGGGGCCAAAAAAAAAAGGTTGTTACATATATTGTGTCAAGATTTTTCTCTCCTTTTCAAAATGTTGTACTAAATTAAGCCTACGTGTGGAAAATTTTAATAGACGATTTAATTTATATATAAATAAAAATAATGAAAGATAAATAAATAATACTTGTGAATTAATTAACAAATTTCATATTGAATTATAAATTCCAATTATACCATGTGTAATTTTCTAAAAGATGTAAAATTGACGACGACGTGAATATCAAACATCCCTTTTAGCAACTAACTAAAGTTATGCTGTCTATTAGAATTGTACTATTCTTGAAGATTCTCGAGATTATCATTCAAAGGATGACCATTTCATCCCAATTAAATTTCTAGTTGCAACGTTAATCGACCAATATATTACTCATTGGCTCACCAAAAAACGATTATAAACTCTCAAATTCATCTCAATTGGCTTTTTAGCAGCAGCTTAAAGTTTAAATGGAATTAATCGACCCCCCAAAAGCATGACTATAAACACGTTAAATCGTCCCAATTGGCTTTTTAGTAACAGCTCCTTAAACGACGTTAACCACCGATCCTAAAAATTCAAAGAGGGACAAAAAACGTAATTCCGAAAAATTATCAAAACTACTTAGAAAAGTTTTAGAAAATCAATTTTGCTACGCTTACAGTTTTGTTTGACTGTTTTATTGATATTTCATGATGTTACAAACAATCTGATCATTTATTTGAATAACACTTATTCAAATCCATGATCAAATTTTTTACATGTAGTGAAATATGTTATTCAAATAAATGATCAGATTGTTTGTATCACATGAAATATCCATCAAATATACAAAATAAACGCACAAATAGCTTAATTCTTAGAAAATATCTCAATTCATATTCATTACTTCAATAAGAAAATGTCACAATCTCGAATATAATAAAGTTCTAATTAATAAAAATTATTTTCTCATTTTTAGTAACGAAGATCACAGAGTATTCTAGAAATCCTTCTAGAAATCATCACCATCGTAGCCCAAATCATCCTCCACACGATCCGCTGCCTCATCGGCAATATGGTCTTCCAGTGCATCAACGCCCTCCGACAATGCAATTCCACCTACCACCCCTGCTACCGCGCCCACAGCCAATCCCGTTCCCATCCCACCAAATTTGTTCTTCTTCTTCTCCTCCACATCATACCCCGGCTGCCCGTAGTAACCACTCTGCCCATAAGCTGGCTGCCCGTAACTCGGTTGACCGTACGAAGGCGCACTATAGGGATAACCCGACGGCGGAGCAGCATAAGCTGGCGCCGGTGGAGCTTCATAAGTGTTACCGAATGGTGCTGGCGCTGCGGGATATCCTCTAGTCCCTGGCGGAGGGACTCCGTACGGTTCGTAGTAAGGATCAGGCACACGATACCGCGGATCACGCACGGTAACATTCACTTCCAGTTTCCCATGTGGCCGTCCAGAGGGGCGCTTGAGCTCAAGCTTCTTCTCCAATCGGCTCCCAAATCCAACGTCGTCTACAACTTCCCGCAGAGGGAGCTTAGCTGAGCCGATCAGCGGCTTGGTATCCTCAGCAGCATTGGCGTGCACGATGTCAACGTGGAGGGTGGATTCCTCCACCGGAGAGTTTAACGGAACTACAAGCTTTTCATCCCAGTAAGGGCATGTGTCGCCCTCCTCGTCGACTCTGGTGGAGCACTTGGCGTTCGGATCAACCCAAACGACGGCGTACGGCTTCAGCTTGCCATGGCGCCAGTTGACGTTCTTCAAGTCCTTGGCTGATGTGATTGTTACCTCGACTTCGTATCTTGAACCCATTTTCAAACTTTTTCGGAGGAAATGAAATTAGACACTGGGAAACTGAAGAGTGATTGGGATTTTATAGGTGCGAATGCGAATGGGGATTGGTGGGGTAGGATTAACCTTAAATTTTGATTTCATTGTGCACGCGCACTCATAAATAGTTCCTCTCACAATGACCTTTTTACCCTTTATTATTTAGCAAGTTATTACCTCCCTCCCTCCCATAAAAATAAATATGCTTATTTTATTAACATGAGATTTTGTGAAAAATTGTGTCTTGGAATAGTGATTTTTTTGAGTGGGTGTTTAGCACCCATTCTTTTGAATTGATTTTATGAGAGACTGTACTTGAAAATGAATTTTGAAAAAATGAAATACAAACAAGGGCTTAGTATACTTGAATTAGGGACGACAAAATAATCTGATCTCGTCCTATACTTAATTGTCAAACTTTGAACGAGAATATTTTTCATCTTATCCTTTCATATCTTGCCCTTCAAAAATAAAGACTTGCCAATGGATCGGAAGGGATCTTCTCAAATCTAGCGCCTGTCTGGAGAAACTTTTTGACAAGATTTCATCAGAATTCTTACCGTTGGGCCGCAATAATTGATTGCCACTCTCTCACGCTGGCCCCACTAACGATCCTTTTTCTGATTTTAATCCATGGAAAATTCAAAACAGACACATTCTAATATGAATGTAATAATAGTAATGATATGATATTAAAAAAATGTAGAAGACTGGATAAAGTTCAAGAAGCATTTTACTTAATTCTTTGAGTAATATTGATTTATTCACAAGCTAACAAACATACATCTTTTACTAGATAAATTTGAATTCTACTAATAGATGAGTAGAACTTAAAAGCACTCGTTGCTCACAACAACTATTCAGTTCAAGGAACTTAAAGAAAACTTAGAACTTGTTTCATAAGTATGTCTTGAGAAGTGAATTTTTTAAAATTATTTATTTTATAAATGTATCGATGAAAATAAATGTGAATCAAAATTTAAAGTCGAGGGTATATTGGGAAAGACATGTTTGGTGGGAATTGCGGATATCAACTGAGGATAGGATTACTAAACAAGGTGGGAATAACGAGGGATGACGTCTTCTCCTTTTCTTAGCGTGAAAGCTAATCTTGAAATAACGGGGGAATCTGATATTCTGTTTACAAAATTAAACGAATATTTTTGGCATCTACACGGCTTTCACACGACTTTCACACGGAATGGGCTGGGCTTACTACCATGAAATTTACGAGCATAGCACTCATTGGGTGGAATAATGATATCACATGACCATATCTGTTCTTGATAATTGTTTAGCACTTAGGATGGTAAAAGAAAACTCGTTAAACTCAAGGGAAAATTACACTAAATCAGATGTTTAGTTTGATACTTTAAAAAAATCAAGTTTATACTTTATTTAATAAAAAATTCGGTTTTAATTTTACAATTAATATTAATAATAATATTTTAAATTAAATTAAATATATACCCACCCTTACCCCCAAATTTCAATCAAATTCTCAAACCCTACTCCTCCCTGCCGTCCTCCTCTTCCCCTCCCCTTCCCCTCCCCTTCCTTCCTCCTTTCTTTCATTTCTTCCCTCCCCACTCCCTCTGTTGCGAATCGCAGTAGCGTCGCTCAAAAATCCAATTTTAATTTCACAATTAATATTAATAATAATATTTTAAATTAAATTAAATATATACCCACCCCTACCCCCAAATTTCAATCAAATTCCCATAGTGAAAGAAAAGGGAAAAATTACATCAGGTGTTTAGTTTGATATTTTAAAAAATCAGGTTTATACTTTATTTAATCAAAAATCAGGTTTTAATTTCACAATTAATATTAATAATAATATTTTAAATTAAATTAAATATATACCCACCCCTACCCCCAAATTTCAATCAAATTCCCAAACCCTACTCCTCCTTGCCGTTCTCCTCTTCCCCTTTCCTTCCATCCTCCTCTCTTCCATTTCTTCCCTCCCCCTCTCCACTCCCTCTGCTGCGAATCGCATCAGCGTCACTACGACGCTACTGCGATTCGTTGCAGCGAGTGTCGCTGCTCGCTATTGGGTCGCAGTGGCACACCCAATTTTTTTTTTTTTTTTTTAAACTTTTTCAGTGTGTAGATTTTTGGAAAAAAAAAATGATGAAAATCTCTACAGGTGGATGTTGCAGGTCAAGGATTTTTTAAAAATGGTGGATGTTGTAGGTGGAAATTACAGTGAAGTGGGTGTGGCTCGATGGTATTTTTGTTTTTTGGTGGTGCGGTGGCGTAGTTGTGGGTGTGTGGTGGAGGTGATGCGGAGGTTTGTGGGTGCGGTGGATCTGGTGGCGGCGATGGGATGGAGGTGGTGTCGATGTATGTGACCCACTGTTCGTCGTGGGCGGTGGATCTGGTGGCAGCCGTCGTGAAGATGAGGTCTGATTTTGGAAAATGTCACATATTGGTGATGGTGATCCGTGTGGTAGTTGTCATTTTTTGTTGTTTTTTGTTATTGCCGGGCGGGTCAACGGCGATGTTGGTTCTTTTTGGTGTCTGTGACATAGCTATTATGATTTTTTTGATATCCGTGACCTAACTTAAAATTGATAATTTGTAACTAAAAAAATAATCTGTGACCTATAATTTTTTTGATCTGTGATCTCGAAATAATGTGACCTATAAAATTTTAGATCTGTGACCTCGAAATAATCTGTGACCTATAAAAAATTTTATCTGTGACCTAGAAATAATCCTTGACCTACAAAAAATTTTATCTGTGATTTTGAAATAATCCGTGACCTACAAAATTTTTGATCCGTGGCCTCGAAAAAGTTGTCGGAGTGGTCACCGGAGTCGTAGTCGGAGCAGAGGTGGCGATGGGATGGGTTAATTATATTATATTACAATTTAATATTTAATTTAATATAATAACAGTGAAATATAATTAATTAATTTATGAAAAACCTGATTTTTGCAATTCTAAGACTTGAGACCTGATTTTTTATTTTGAGATAGATAAAGCTTGAGTTGTAAATTTATGAACTAGGGCTATCTATGGATTGAATTTTGATCCGAATCCGATGAAATGAAAGGGAAATGGATTTAGGGTCTCAGTCCGATAACTCGATCAAGATCTAAATCCGATAATCCGTTAACTAAATGGATCAAATATGGATGTAGGTCAATCCGATCCGATTTGTTATAAATAATTGAGT